GCAGCTAAGATTGGTAGATATGAATTATAAGCTAAGTAAACTTTTGCTCTAAAAAGTCAAAAACAGTGAAGTTAAGAGAAAAGGTTTTAAATTGTCAAGGATCTTAGCCAAATGGTATAATTTAATGTAGATTAAACACACTTCCATGCTGGTTTCACTTTTCAGATCTACAAGTCACATTCATTATCTAGAGGAGCTTCAGAGTCCAAACACAAAGAAGGTGTCTTACCAGCTAAATTCATCGTTTATATACAAATCTAATAATTACAAATACAAAACTAATAATTAATATAAAAGGTCCAGAAAAAACGGTATCTACTAGCAGAATAAGTTCTCTTGCTTATTTAAACTCAGCTAGTTGAATAAATATCTCTGTAAGCTGAAGCATTAACATTTCTCCTCACTGCGTCGAAGGAAACCAGAAAAACAATGCCATAGCATTTTTCTTCCAACACCAAACTGTACAGTTGGCACTCCGGCAGGTAATGTTCTCCTGACATTTGCCAAACCAGACTTGTCCATCATAGTGCCAAATAACGAAATATGATTCATCACACCACAGACCACATTTCCACTGCTCCAGAGTCTAGTGGTGGTGTGCTTCACTCCGCTCCATCTGACACGGCATTGTGCTTGGCAATGTATGTTTACATGTTGCAGCTCAGCCATAAAAACCCATGCCATGAAGCTCCTGGAACATAGTTTTTGTGCTGATGTTGCTGCTGGAGGAGATTTAAACTACATACTATAAAATTTGCATCTGTAATGTAAGATGGGCTGACACTTTGTGTCTATGTTGCCATGGTTCATAAATGCTTCCACTTTGCAATAATACTACCTACAGGGTCACATGGGGGTGCTGGAGCCTATCTCAGAAGTCTTAGGGTGAGAGGCAGGGTGAACAGGCACCTTGAACAGGTCGCCAGTCTGTCACTGGGCTAACACACAGATACAGACAACGATTCACACTCACATGCCCTATGGGCAATTTAGAGTTTCCATTTAACCTATCCCTGCTAACTACAAGTCTTTGGACTGTGGGAGGAAGCCGGAGTACTACAGTAGATTCTCTGTGGATACATTTTTCTGTGATGTGCTCCTAAGGTTGCTTTGTGTTTATACCAGGGGTCAGCAACCTTTAACACCCAAAGAGCCTTTAGGACGCGATTTCCACGCAAAAGAAAACACTGGGAGCCGCAAATACTTTTTGACATCTAAAATTAAGATAACACTGTATATATTGTTTTTTACCTTTATGCTTTGTGTGAACAACTAAGGTGTGTTGCTTATGAAATCCATGAAGTGCTACAGAGAAAATTACATTTTATTTATGTAATTAACATATTTTGAACTCTTAAAGAAATATAACAAAAGGAAAGACACCCAGCTGAACTAAAATGATCCATGTAGCAAACAAAAACTGTTGTGAGCCGCCACCCTTATATCACCTTTGGGCTTTTGGAGCCTTGACCTGACTTTTAAAAAAATAATTGGGATAAAAAGCACTATGCTGCTAAAAAATGAAAAATAAATATTTGCAAAATTCTGCCTAAATATGTATTTTACCTGGTTAATGTGTGTGGCGGGGTGTGGCCTGCTGCGCCGCTGCAGGGGAGGCGGACGCACCTGAGCGGCACCCGCAATCACGCCTCGCCGCCTTAACGTCTGTGCTATCTGTGCTGTTGTGTTGGTATGTGTCGGGCTGTGAGCTGAAAAGCTACAGCCGGCTGTATGCGTACAGCGACCGTGTGTGAAAAGTGGTCAATAAAGAGATGCTGAAAAGCGTGTTCATGGAAACATCGTCGGGTCTGCTGTGATATGTTTACAATGGGACTTCTGCTCCTGAACCTCTGCGCACAGCGTCTGCAAATCGGGGCTGTACGAAGTCACTTCATCTTTACGCAGGACTGTAAGCTGTCACCTGTGAGGTGTGAGCAGTGTTTGTTTTTAACATACAGTGGGGCAAAAAAGTATTTAGTCAGCCACCGATTGTGCAAGTTCCCCCACCTAAAATAATGACAGAGGTCAGTAATTTGCACCAGAGGTACACTTCAACTGTGAGAGACAGAATGTGAAAAAAAAATCCATGAATCCACATGGTAGGATTTGTAAAGAATTTATTCGTAAATCAGGGTGGAAAAGAAGTATTTGGTCAATAACAAAAATACAACTCAATACTTTGTAACATAACCTTTGTTGGCAATAACAGAGGTCAAACGTTTACTATAGGTCTTTACCAGGTTTGCACACACAGTAGCTGGTATTTTGGCCCATTCCTCCATGCAGATCTTCTCGAGAGCAGTGATGCTTTGGGGCTGTCGCCGAGGAACACGGACTTTCAACTCCCGCCACAGATTTTCTATGGGGTTGAGGTCTGGAGACTGGCTAGGCCACTCCAGGACTTTCAAATGCTTCTTACGGAGCCACTCCTTTGTTGCCCGGGTGGTGTGTTTTGGATCATTGTCATGTTGGAAGACCCAGCCTCGTTTCATCTTCAAAGTTCTCACTGATGGAAGGAGGTTTTGGCTCAAAATCTCACGATACATGGCCTTATTCATTCTGTCCTTAACACGGATCAGTCGTCCTGTCCCCTTGGCAGAAAAACAGCCCCATAGCATGATGTTTCCACCCCCATGCTTCACAGTAGGTATGGTGTTCTTGGGATGCAACTCAGTATTCTTCTTCCTCCAAACACGACGAGTTGAGTTTATACCAAAAAGTTCTACTTTGGTTTCATCTGACCACATGACATTCTCCCAATCCTCTGCTGTATCATCCATGTGCTCTCTGGCAAACTTCAGACGGGCCTGGACATGCACTGGCTTCAGCAGCGGAACACGTCTGGCACTGCGGGATTTGATTCCCTGCCGTTGTAGTGTGTTACTGATGGTGACCTTTGTTACTTTGGTCCCAGCTCTCTGCAGGTCATTCACCAGGTCCCCCCGTGTGGTTCTGGGATCTTTGCTCACCGTTCTCATGATCATTTTGACCCCACGGGATGAGATCTTGCGTGGAGCCCCAGATCGAGGGAGATTATCAGTGGTCTTGTATGTCTTCCATTTTCTGATGATTGCTCCCACAGTTGATTTTTTCACACCAAGCTGCTTGCCTATTGTAGATTCACTCTTCCCAGTCTGGTGCAGGTCTACAATACTTTTCCTGGTGTCCTTCGAAAGCTCTTTGGTCTTGGCCATGGCAGAGTTTGGAGTCTGACTGTTTGAGGCTGTGGACAGGTGTCTTTTATACAGATGATGAGTTCAAACAGGTGCCATTCATACAGGTAACGAGTGGGGGACAGAAAACCTTCTTACAGAAGACGTTACAGGTCTGTGAGAGCCAGAGATTTTCCTTGTTTGAGGTGACCAAATACTTATTTTCCACCCTAATTTACGAATAAATTCTTTACAAATCCTACCATGTGGATTCATGGATTTTTTTTTTCACATTCTGTCTCTCACAGTTGAAGTGTACCTCTGGTGCAAATTACTGACCTCTGTCATCATTTTAAGTGGGGGAACTTGCACAATCGGTGGCTGACTAAATACTTTTTTGCCCCACTGTAGTTCACGGTGGAGAACAGCTGCTGACATAATGTGGATCCGAAGATCCATAATTGGCCTACCTGGGGTTGAAAGTCTCGATAAATGCACGCCGTTTCAGCGGGTATACCGGCTTCCGCGGGTATGACGCCTATTTTGAGCAATCAAAAAATAATAGAATATAATTTTATATTTCAATATCACAACACTCTTCCAATTTAGAACTACAAGTTAAAAAGAACATAAATAAACATAAATAAAATACGCTTCAGCTAAATACTTTAAAAAAACTAATTTATTTTCCCAAACCAAGCGGAGCTGCACTATAAGGACTAAAGAGCCGCATGCGGCTCCGGAGCCGCATGTTGCCGACCTCTGGTTTATACAAAAACACTATCATAAGGATCGTGTGTGTGTTTTCATTAGGATAGAGATTTGTGCCACTGCGCGGGTCTGTGGTTTAGTTTGCTCACTGCTAACTATGCAACAATACATCTTAGACCAGCTTTAAAATCATGATAGAGAGCCGAGGAACAATGGAAGAGGATTTAAAGTTAGAGCTCAGATGTGGATGAGGTTCTACAGTAGGTAGATTATTAGTATCGACAGGATTTGACTGAAAAACTGTCTTTCATTCAGCTGTCTTTGTTCGCCGACTTTAGAAGCAGAAGAGAATATGAGCGAGGCAGTCATGGTTGATAGGAAAACAACACAGCAGAGAAGTGTTAATGCAGGAAGCTGACTGACAGCAGGCGTCCTGCGTTTCCACACATACAGAAACCTGCCTCTCAAGGGCCCACCAAATTGTTTGTGGTGTATTATTGATGAGAATAATCCTCCTCTTTCCCCCCTCTAAGTTCTTCTTTCATCCGCTTTTCTCTCTTTTAGCCTGTCTTTCTCTCTCACAATACAACTCAGCAGGATGTTATTTGTAAATATTTTTGGACGTACTTACACTACAGCTGTGGCAGAAACCTGCAACATGTATATATGTGTACATTTACAGATTTATTCCTGCTAAAAGGGAGTTTTTTCTTCCCAGTGTTGCCAGATGCTTCCTCATATATAGGGGGCTGTAATATAAAGCACCTTGAGGTGATTGTTGTTGTGATTTGGTGCTATGTAAATAAAACTGAACCAAATCTGTCCAGATGCAGATGCAACTCTCACTTCTCTTTGCTCACCTCTGCCACTGTTATTTGACCTGGAAACAGACAAAGAAGTGGTGATTGGCTAGTTGTACCACATGATTGAAATGTGATTTGTTGCTGAACGCTGATGTCCACTCTGTGCAAGCTAAGTGTCAGCTTGTGTCAGTAGCACAAGGGAGCCTGATGAAGGCATCTATAGCGGTGCACATGGGCAGTCAGCAGAAATCACGCTTTATTTGAGTGTGTAACAGTCCTCTCTTTCTTTGTGTGACTCTGTGTTCACTCACTGCTTATGTCTGTTTTCTGTCAGGCTGCAGGCTCTCAGTATAGAGCTGAAAAACTCAGAGAAAAGGTTAGAGCACAAGAAACCCGAGACGTTGCCTGGCTCCATGTCTGCCCCTGCCCCGCCCAATCAGAGGTCTACATCGGTCTCTCGCCGGTAAGTAGAGTGAATACCTGTTTTGTGCTCACCTGTGATAATTATGGGCTTTCTGTGCACTGCAAGGTAACCATGGTTGAAAAGTCTGCAGGGAATAAGTATGTCATATTGTACTGTAGTGTCTCAGAGCCCTGAGAAATAAGTAGAGAAAAATTCATTTCAGTGATTCATGGTTTCTTAAATACTTTTTGTCTGTAAAATAAAAAAATAAGAAGCAAAAAATGAGATTCATCTGCTAAAAACCAGTAACTTCTTTTTATTGTGCTCAATTCGACCACAAGAGTCTAAAGTGTCCTTCCTCACGAACTAAACAGAGTAAAAAGTATAAATACTAAACCATCCCTGAGTATTGTGTGGCTTGCAGGCAACATCCAGGCCCAGCCTGGTGAGGTGTGAGGTGTGCGTGAAGGTCAAACATAAAGAAGTACACATTTTGCAGTTTATCTCATTTCAGACACCAAACACTCTTCAATAAACTCCTCATCTCCTGTCTTTTGCAATTTTGTGAGAAATCATAATTCAGCTTTTTTGCTTTTACTTTAAAGGCAGCTGTTTTTTTTCACTACTTTAAAAACCTGTGTGTATGCAATTGAATCCAGCATCACTGTAAATGTTAGTGATAATAGTGTTGGTGCTTTTATTATGCATGTTTCACCTCTTCATTGCCTAACTGTAACATCTACTCTTACCAGTAGCGGATAATAAAGAGATAAAATTAATATTGTGCTGAAATGAGTTCAGCTTATTGGTGCAGTCCTTGCTCTCCAGTTTTTTTCATATAAAGCAAAGCTGTATTTCCTTTGCAGGAGCTTTCAGAATTATCCAGAAAAGAAGCTTTTTGTTGGCCTCTGAGACTCCACACACTCCCTATCAAATTGTGATGGGAGACTTGGGCTTTATATCAATATATACTGATTCCCCTTAAACACAGAACCTGCGCTTACATTGTCGGCTCATTTTTATCCCACTAATTTGATTCTCCTGGTAGATTGCCCTGGTCATTACTGAAATGAACTGGCTTTGTCACCCACAGAACTTTCCACTCCCATCAGTGCATTTTTACAAGTGTGGCATTATGCTCAATTGCTCCGCAGTAAATGTTTTTGTGTAAATAAATAAATAAATAAATTTGGAGTACAAACAAGTGTCAAAGACTGGAAAAACTTTTTTCTTCTGTTTCACTGATGAAAAACAGATTACGGGACAGATTATCCTGTCAAAACCCCATTTTGAATTGTTGTTAAATCGTCTTAAGTCAAAAAAGAAAGCTGGATTAACTGTATAAAGTGAATCACATGACCTCACTTGCTTTTCGTGGATGTCATTGATATCTTTGCTGGTTGGTTAAAAAAGTTTCCAAAGAGTTTTAACTTAGGACCATCTTTGGGATCTACAAGTTGCGCATTGTTAGTTTAAAACTTTAAGTTTTTCTGTTATCAGAGACCAAAGTCTCGGTCTCTGATAATATGTAGGAACCATCGTGAAATGGAAGGAGAAATAGAAACATGTTCTGTAGAACGATGGATTGGCGAACATATGGTTCCCCAAAAACATGCAGCTTTCCAGCAATGATAATAATATATACACATATAATAATAATAATAATAATAATAATATACACAGCTAGGACTACATCACAATACATACATCTCAAAATATCACCTTTTTATAATGTTCCTTTCTAATCTTGCTGTAGTATCCAAAATAAGGTCATGCTAAACAAAAAAACAACAAAAGCACATTTAAATCAACAGTTATTATCTCTACTACTCCCAGACAGAAACATTGCCGTATTCTGGCTCAGTTCTGAAGACAAACCATATGGTGCGATGACCTATGGGCATCTCAATCCTGGCTGCCTAATGTCAGCCATATGTGGCCTGCATTTGTATAGCGCTTTACTCAGTCCTTAAGAACCCCAAAGCACTTCACACTACATTCAGTCATTCACCCACACATTCACACACTGGTGATGGCAAGCTACATTGTAGCTACAATAGTAGCTACATTGTAGCTACAGCTGCCCTGGGGGCGCACTGACAGAGGCGAGGCTGCCGGACACTGGCGCCACCGGGCCCTCTGACCACCACCAGTAGGCAAACACGGGGTTAGTATCTTGCCCAAGGATATTTTGGCATGCAGCCAGGAGGCAGCCTGGGATCGAACCACCGACCTTCTGATTAGTGGCTGACCTGCTCTGCCACCTGAGCTACAGCCACCCCATATGTGGGCAACAGATTAGCTAAATGTCAGCCACAAGTTAACCAAATAAACCATAAGTGGCCTTGAGCTGGATTTCTGCATAATCCATCATATAAAATTGAATCAAATGAAAGAGTCTCTTTTATTAGGTTTAATCTTTTAACTTTATGCACATTGCATCAAGCAAAAATTAAATCATATGCAACCGTCGTTGACTTGAAGAAATTTGTTTAACATTTAAACCTATTTTCTGCATATTCCAGCATATAAAATAAAATTATTTTTTTGCGTTTACACTCACTCTTTCAAATAGATGCAAGTAAAACACAGCAAAAATAAATAAAATAAATGAATAAATAAATAAACAAGATTCAGCGGCACTAACTCCTGTCGCTCTTAAGTCTGTTTTCACCTGTTTTGCAGGAGTGGGGCTGGTGGAGGTTTGCCCGGTGTCAGTGGGGGGGGACAACAGTGTGTGTGTGTGTGTGTGTGTGTGTGTGTGTGTGTGTGTTTGTGTGTGTGTGTGTGTGTTTATCTTTAACAAATATTCATAGTCAATGTGGTGCCACTTTTTAATAAGTGAGAGAAAATAGGGTGTTTTAAAATTAATTGACAGTTGTTTTAAACAGTAATAAGTAATTTAACTCCATTAATGAGTCTTTTATAAATTCTAAAAATTTTCAGCAGCGATTTAATGACATGGTGGGGTGTGCGCCTTTAAGACTGCAGTGGGAACTGCGAGACTTGAGCTTTTTCCGACACGGTTAGCTGTCAGTATTTATGAAGGATTAAAAAAATATAAATGAAAAGTTAAGGCAACATTTACTGTTACTGCTACGATTTGTAGCAGCAATAATTAAACATTTACAAAATTACACCACCAAATGGCAAGCTGGCATTGCAGTTAGCACTGAAACTCAGTTATCAGTACTTTCAGTAAAGAATGTGTAAAAATCTTCTGAATAAACAGTTAAGGAAACTGCTGATTGCAAACCAGGAAAAACTGGCATGTGTTACTTTGTATTGTAGCTTTATAATAAGTCAAATTGTAAAAGACCAACATATCATATAAATATATCTGTCTTTATTTAAAAAGTGGCACCATGCTCAGTTTGTTTCTGTACTTCCTGTAAATAACTCGTCTAAGACTTGTTGATGAATAAATGGACCTAAAATTGAGAACTAGAGTGCTATGAAAAGTATTTGCTGCCTTCTTTTTCTTTTTTTTTTTTCTTTTTATTTACTACATTTACATGTTGAGATCATCACACATTCCACATTCATTGTGCCCTTTCCAAATGAGGTAGCACTCTGGAATCCCGTCTCACAGTGTTCTTACAATGACAATAAATCTTACAAATTTTAATATTAGACAAAGATAAATACAAAATGCAGTTTTTAGATGATGATTTCATTTATTAAAGGAAATAAGTTATTCAAAACTCCTTGGCCCTACACGGAAAAAGTAATTGTTCTCCCTAATTAAATAATGTATTGAATAGAATAGAATAGAATAGAATAGCTCTTTATTATTTACGAAATTGTTGTGATCAACCACATTGTTCACTTTCACTAGTCCATCCCTCAGCTTGTGTCCTGAACCTTATGCAGCACTAATCCAAAACAGTAAGTCCAACTATAATTTTGGAGTGTTCAAAGTAAGTCTGGATCTAAGTCCAGTTAAGATGTTTTGGCAAATATCTTAACCTCTTTTTTGAATTAAGTGGGCCAAAATTCCTCCACGGCGATGTGAATGACTCAGTGCCAGTTATTGCAAACGCTTGATTGTAGTTCTTACTGCCAAGGGTGGCGTAACCCGTCATTATTGTTCCACCAAGGCCAGTTAGGTTTAGATAACTTTTTTCTTTTTATATAAACTCAGTCTGTTTGTCTAATTTTAACATTTGTTTGAAGGCTGTGAGTGTGCCAAGAAGAAATTGGGAAGGGGGAAAATACTGTTTTCATAGCAGTGTATGTTCTAAATGCTGTAAATAGCAACCGACTTGAATAGAGTTTATTGAGTATATTGATGTTCTCTCCTCTAGCCACTGGACTAACCTGGCCTGTTTACTGGACACAGGATAAAGGATAAGATGTATTTCTTGTCTGTAGGGACCACTGTTGACTTTCGCACAACCATTAACTTGTTTCGGAATGTGAATGCTGCAGTAATGTGTTGTTATATACTTAATGCATGAGTGATGGACATTGCTTTTCTTCTGTGGTCCAGTTTGACACTACCAGTACTTTAATACCACAGAAAGCCAATGTGTCGTTTCTTTCAGCTGATGTGTTAAATAGTCTTTGCTGTCATCTAGCTGTTGCTTGCTATGGTGTATGTGTTGGGCACAGACTGATAAATGGTCTCTTAAACTGGAACCAAGCTGAATCTGTCTGGAGGGTTTAATGTTTTTACAGGAAAAGTTGTGTAACTGCAGACGGATCAACGTATAGTTGTGGTGTCCTCCTCTCTCTTATTTATTTTCCTCAGATTCAACCCTCTGAAGGTGCTGCAGCCCAAACGTCGCTTGCAGCAAATACTGGCGTCCTCGCCCGTGCCGGTACCCAAGCCGGCGTCTGGGTCGGGGACTGCTGTGCCAACCGCCACAGCACCAGTGGCCATTCCTGTGCCCGCGCCCCCTGCGTGAGACACACTTCAGTTACAGTCTGAGAGAGCATGCTCCATAGCTGTAGCTGTAGCTTTGGCATGCACTGTAGCCACTAAAACCAAAATTGGAAATTAAATGTTGGAAAAATAAACAACAGCACACAGGCAAGTTAAGGTTCTAACCTGTGAATGATGCAGTGAAACGTGGTCAGGTTAGGATTAATCTTTGCAGTCAGGTGTGTGGCTTCTCCTGTCAACATCACCTGTTGCAAAGCTGCACAGCTCACATTTTAGGGAATTTCAATGTCAACGATCAGGCAAGCGGTTGGCACAAAGTAGATTTTTTATTTGAGTCTCCTAATGCTGTGAATCTAGTTAATTTCTCTTTTATTTGGTAGTTTTCATGCTAAAAACATGTGTTTGTGAGTTTAATAAAATGTTGCAACAGAACAGATCCTGATCTACTGTAAACGGTGTCATAGGATCACAACTGCCAAAAGTAAAAGTCGATTTTTTTATTTGACTGTTGTTTGCACTGAAGACTTTATCTAAGACGCAGTACTGAAACTCAGAAGTTGGGATAAATATTCATCCCCAGCATAGATAAGAATAATTTAGCAGACACAGACATGTATGTGCAGGTAAACTGAAGAGTTTACCATCAGTAGCTAGCTTGTTTAGTTAGCTAACATTACCTCTGGATACTAGATGGGTACTTGCATGCAATCAATGCTAAAAGACTTATTCTTGTTATACAGCGTAGAGCTAGTTGATGACTTATAAGGTAGTCCTGTTATTCATTAAGATTTAGCTTTAAACTATGTAAAGCAACAAGAGACTTTCAAAGGGAGGTCTATGTATTGAATTTGCCAAAATCTGCTATATTTTCATTTACTTTAGATGATGTTTGCTACAAGAAAACCTGCACCATGCTACTGTTAACATAAAGGCTAAAGGTTTATGATTAGTTTAGTGCGGAATTAGCATAGTTCTTTATAGTGCATTAAAACCTCAAGCCAAGATTATCCTCCGTTGTGGACACAGACATGGACTGCTGGAGACCCGTAGGCCAAGTAGTCATTCCTCTTATACTACTTTGTCACCTGCTTGTTCTTCACCTGGGGAGCATGCCTATTTGGTGCATTGTAATGTAAAAATGTGGTCCCAAAAAAGCAGGCATGCCTGGAGTCTATTATACATAGGGCTATAGCAAAATGACTTCTGTTTGACTTCATGATATCTTTATAAACATTTTTTGATTGGAGTTGTGGCCTCGGTTGCTATTTTCAAGACTTATCCAAAACAACATGATGTACTTTTTTAAAATAGATAGATATAGATATAGATAGATATAAATAGAAATAGATTCAACAATAACATAAACGCCTTGTGTGACTACCATGGATATGATAAGTCCTGACTGAAGTGTACAAAAATCAGAATGGTAATGTGGAAAATGCTCAAACCAAATCAGAGGGTAGTGTCATTGTGGCTACTTTCAACACATGTATACAGTCTGTGGCCTGTAAGGAGCACAGAAAGTGGCAAGAACTGTGTGCGTGTTGTTGTGTCACATCACCTTCGAATACAGAGTCTGTGATACTATCATGCACTTAAACGCAAGAATTGGTGCTAATCTTTCAAGGATTAGGTTTAGTGGCTACATGCACGGTAGAAATGGCACGTTTAATGTGCATACTGTGATCACTGGTTGACCGCAGCCACTCACTCAACAGCACTGTGTGAAACACTCATGTGCAGCAGCATTGCCTGTAATGCGAATGTGCTTTTGGTTTATCGAGATATTGTTTACTAAATCAGTTTCAGCCTCTTGAGCAAAGTTGCTTTCGTAAAGGAATATCTCTTCACTCCTCTCCACCCACTCATGCTAACACCTGACAACTGGGAAATGCTTGCCTCAAGCAGACAACACCCACACCCCAGACATTAGTTCCATCCCAGCAGATGGCTGGGATGAACTGTCACGCCCTAAACACTGTTGTACTGTGTATTTTCCAGGCTCAGTGTTTCTGCTGCTTCTTTCTCCCCATTTCTGTGCTATCAAGTGTTGAGCTGTCAATATCTGGCTTCCTCCCTAATTATGTAACACAGGACACGGTGACTCAGTTCAGTAGCAAAATATACAGTAGAAAATGGAAACAACAGACGTGCGTTCAATAATAGTTTAAATATAATGTATCTGTCTATTACAAACTGTCTCCAGCGGTTTATTACATAATCCAGGTGATTAAGGTTTTTGTTCTTTTTACTTGACCTCATGCGTAAAATTACTTTTTGGAACCTTTGCTGAACCTTAGCTGCATGCTCAAATAAACCCTGAGTAAAATTATTATTAATCTTTTACAGGGCACTCAAAATTCAAAATTTCATTTATAGTGTTGCAAGAGTTTTTAGTTTGTTTCTTTGTTTGGTCATTTGTTTGTGCACACATGTGCATGCATGATTTCATACACCACTAGTTGGACTTGGTGTATTGCTTAATTTTTTTTTAGAAGTAAATTTAAAAACTTTTCCATAGGTGCTTTGTGACAATAACAGGACAGTAATTAGCTTCTTCTCCTGTAACTTCCTCATTGTGTCGATGGACTTCAGCTCCATTGTCTTAGACGGCAGCAGACCATAGCAGTCCTTGTTCTGCTCTAGAGCCCTGGTGGAGTCAGCTTAGCAGCATTAGTTCCAAAAGTCTTTGAAGTTTTGATTAATGTGGCCCTCAAGCTCACAGCTGAACTCTGAGATGATTAAGACAGCCACTTACCAATATCTAATAATTCAGTCGTCAGCTGTTTATCTAGCAACTTCCTCAGTTAGTAAAATCCTGTGACAACAGTCAAACAGTTTTGACCTGCAATTGGCAACCGTGATCTTCTGGGAGTTCAACATAGCAGCAATTGAACTAGTTCTCCAGCAGCTGTGCATTTGGGTTTAAAGTGAACCTCCAGCTTGTTCCAGATCTGCAAGATTAGCATTGTAAGCTGCAGTCCATGATGGTGGAGCTGGAGAAAGAAAAGCTAACAGAAGAAGAAGCTGAGGACCCCCCGAACAGTGAGATCGTCACTTTGCCATCATGGAAACATGACATAGTTAACAACTGTATTTTCAAAATAGAGTGAAATGAACTCAAGAGCAATTAAAAAAATTCAGCCAAATTGCAAAAACATTGTGCTTCATTAGTTTTTCTGTGTTGGTGAAATAAGTAAGATATGTATTTCTGGGAAACACTGACTATCATCAAGTATGATATATATATTTATATATATACATATATATGACATGAACAGCAAAAAGTTTAAAGACAGAGACGAGTTATATACAAGACTATGTGCATGTTTAGTGTGGAGTTTTCGTGTCCTGTGTCCAATACCATCATGGCTGTTCTGATTGACCCTGCTTGTCCTCCCCTCCCAGTGTGGTGTCCAGTGATTGGGCAACAGTTATGTCCTTGTTAAAGAACAACAGTAACTCAGTTGGTGAACATTCATTATAGACTTTAAAACCACACAGACGCTGACAGAAGTTGCCAATCACAGATAACCCTTTTTTTTTCCCTATCTACCACTGATATAATTAAACTGTACTAACAAACTGTGTCATGTTTTGCTGGATAGTAAAAATGCCTAGAGGTGAAAATATATATACACCACCAATTCTACTCTTTGATATTATGTGGTTTTACTTGGTCTCTATAGTGGTTTTGCACAGGTGTCAGTTGTCTTAAAGTTAACTTTTTTTTAGCTAAGCTAGTTTGCACTTGTCATCAAAAGTGGGGCGAAATTTCTATAAGTTTGCTGAGATAGTTTTGTGAAAGTGTGTTGCGAGTTAAAATGGGGCGTTTATGAATTATTGTTGTTGCAGCTGCTTCCATGTTGCTCTTAGAAGACCTAAAACATTTTATCACTTGTAAATTGTGTTTCAGGATGCAGTGTTAGTTTACATTCCAGTAAAAGCCTCATAGCAGTAAACTGCTCCTATTAGCGGTGCAGTATAGGAAGCCAAACAGAGGAGCCTCAACATTGAAGCATGGCTTTTAGAAAGCAAGCTCTCCTGAGCCACTTCACTGTTTGAGTTCTTACATTTTAAAATTATGCTGAGATATGCTAAATGTCAACCAACCTTACCTCCCTTCAGTGTGCAGCAGGCACATTGCCACCCTCTGTGATTTAACACCCTCTTGTCTCTGGTCAGGTTTGACTACTGCAGGTTCATAGAGTTAGACTACGTGCCCATGGAGTCAAGCTGTATGGTGTCAATGCGCCCAACTAAAGGCTATGTATCGACCAAGTCACCGACCAAGGGATACACTTCCACCAAGTCTCCGGATCGCCACGGTCGTTCAACAAACTCTCCCTCTACCCCTCGCTCCCGGTCTGTCCCGACTCACTCTTTTTTCCTCCCGATCAGTCTTGATCCTTTAAAGCATGGGAATGGCAAGATGTTTTGCACTGCTGTAAATGTTTTGTGACGCCACATTCTAGAAAACATCCTGTCTAGTCTGACTCTCTTCTTCTTTTCTGTCCGATTGCTCTCTTTTAGTTCCCTTCTGGTGAAAACTTTCTTTTTTCATTGAGTAACGCTAATTTGATGTCCTTTTCAGTTTCAGCATTGTTGTGAGTGCCAAGAGGAGTGTGTGTATTTGTTTCTCAGGCCGACATGCTGAAATATTGTACTCTGTGTATCTGTGTAGACCTGTGTTGTATAAGCATGGTGGTGGACCTGGATTGAAGTGTTTTCCATTCATTTCTGTTTGCACTGTGGATCCGTTTGTCATGGTTTAGCTTAGCAGCTCACTTAGTGTCTGGACTGTGGTTCCATGGTGTTGCCAGGAACACATTAACATGTCTCCTCTTACTGTGTACCAGGCGCACTCCGGCTGCGGCCAGTAATAGAGATCCCTATGGAAACGCTTCTCTCAGCAGCAGCAGCAACTCAGGCTCATGTAAAGGCAGTGAATGCAGCCCAACCAAAGGGTAAGAGGTGTAGCACATTTCTACTAGCTCTTGTACCAGCGTAGTCCCAATGCTAGAGCTAAATATGTTTGCAATGCGGGCCACCGATTCTGATTCTTCCTACTAATGTTTCCCCAAATTCCAACACTAACATTGCAAAATAATGACTTCTCTAACTTGTCAAATTGTGGGCTTGTTCTCTAACAGCAGTGCACCACAAACTCTGCCGCACTACTGCATTGATGGACAAGAGGTATAACGTTAATGCCTTGGGATAGAAAATGGAACTCTTTGTGACTTTGTCAACTCAGTGAAAACAGAACTTAATATGATTTGCTGTCTTATTACCTTAATTAGCTATTTAATCAAAATTTATCAAATTTTGATTAAATAATTCAATCAAATTTAATCAGAATTTTAGTGATGATATGACACAAGAAAAAATTATTTACTCCAGTTCGCTTTCCAAAAGTATGAAAGAGCACATTTGCAGTCTCTTCTTTTTTCAGTTTATGCTCATTGGTTGAATATGTGAATGAAAATATGGTGAGTGCTGTTAAAAAGGAAAAAAGCCCACATTACTGATAAAACAGCAGCTCTGAGCCCCAACCTACTATTTTGAAGATAAGCAAAAAGTTATTTGTGATATCATCATCACCGATGACCTAGACCTCAGAAGGTTAAGAGTGTTTGAAACTCTTAATTCTTATAATAGTGATGTTAACTTTCCTTCCATCACTTCTTTCTTAACATCTCAAAAAATGGAAAACACCACTTATTCTTTTCATAAACTGAAGTCCTGTCTTTTTTAGACGCCATCAGAAGTACACGTCATGTACAGACAACCATGGCATTCGGCCTCCTCCACCAGAGCAGTACCTCACACCCCTTCAGCAGAAGGAGGTGTGTATCCGACACCTGCGGGCCAAGCTAAAAGAAACCATCAACACCCTGCAAGACAGGTGAGATACTGAGACAGGATGAGAGACTGGCAGGTCCTATAAAGTAAGGTTTTATGCTAGTTCTTCTTAGATCTTGTATATTGGTCTGTGCTTCTTATCGTCAAAGGTTCTAACCCTTTCTCTGTTGTCACCCTCTTAGGGACACGGAAATAGATGAGTTGAGAGGCCGGCTTTACAGAATGCAGGAGGACTGGGTTGAAGAAGAGTGCCACCGCGTAGAGGCTCAGCTGGCCCTGAAGGAGGCGCGTCAGGAAATCCAGCAGCTCAAACAGGCTGTGGATACTGTTCGTGCCAGGCTGAGCGATGCCGGAGGCCTCAGTGGAGATGTAGGGGTCCAGAAGTACTTTCAGGATATCAACGCTCAGAACCACAAGCTGGAGAACCTTTTGCTGAGTATGGAGTTGGCCCAGGCTGGATTAGCAAAGGAGGCGGAGGCCATGCCAGGCTGTCGGACCCGCGTTGGGGGTTCAGCACCAGCATCTGTTTCAGGAGAAAGTCCTGGCGGAGTACCCAAACTTACTGTAGGAGGAAGAGGGTCTTGCTCTTGTGATGGCTCCCCAGCCCGGTCTTTAACTCGGAGTTCCACCTACACAAAGCTGAGTGATCAGGCACTGGCGGACCGCAATGACAACGGGTCGGACTTTCCTTGTCTCTCAGGCGACGGCACCCAGGACAGCGGCTTTGTGTGCTGTGGGGAGAGTAACATCCCCAGCCGGGCTGACCTTCTGCTGGAGGCCGCATTCCTTTCTGAGGAAACAGCATCTTTACTTAATTCCTACACGCAAACCTTCTCCCACTCTCTTCCCCATTCTCATCCCCACTCTCTGCCAAACTCACTGTCTCACACCTACTCACATACCTTACCTCATTCTTTCCCTCACAATTTGTCCCACTCTGTGCCGCATACTATGCCACACTCTTCTACGTATGAGAAGCTGTGCACAGGGGAGGGGCTGGCACCCTTTCGTTGTGGTCTGGGTGGAGTGAGCTGCATGAGCCACCCCTGCCTCTCCCACCACCATCTGTACCTGCACCCTTTAAGGGAGACTGGCATTCAGACAGAAAGCTGCCCCATCCCTACAACAGCAGGGTATCCCTCTGATCTGGACACCATCGCAGAGCAACGTACTTTCCGGTCCCAGGCCTGTAGCCCCACTTCAACCTGGATGTCTGATGAAGGGGACGAGGAGTTGGACTCCATTACCACCACAACTTCAGTAACCACAGCAACAGTCATGAGTACAGCAACAGAGCCAATCCCCAAAACTCCAGTGGTCCCATCTTTACCACGGTCCGCCACTGTTGCGTGTTCCATGGAAAGTCCTGTGCATAAAGAGAAAGAGTATGGAGAGGAGGAGGAAAAGCAGGAGAAAGAGGAAAAAGAGAAGGAAGCTTTTGTGGCAGAAGAGCAGGTGGAGATAGTTATGATCAAACTGGCAGAAGAAAGGCAACAGACGCTGATTGGTTCAGTGGGAGAGAAGATAGGAGGGCAGGTTGCTGAAGAGAAGCCGGCTCAAGGAAAACTCTGTGATCTTGCTGCGATGCCAGCAACATGGCAGGGTGAGCTTAAGTTAAGAGGATGCTGTGGAGAAGGCAGGCAGGGTGGGACATCATTTGAAAACCTCGGAGTTGTGGACACGCAGCAAGAAAGCTGTCCTTTACAAGAATCAACCCAGGTAGAGACACCTCACCTGAGTCCGAGTCACCAGGGATCATCTCCAGCTATAGAACAGCCTCACACAATCCAGCCAAGAAGGTCTACTTCCCATGAGGAGATAGGTGGTGTTACAGTGGTGGAGGTGCACAATGAGGACAATGATAACGGTGAAACAAAAGAGCACGGTGCCACAGGGGACACTGCAGAAGAGAACGGAGAATCATCTAGCTCTGGGACGATTCAGAAAAGCTACTGGAGTCGTCACTTCCTAGTTGATCTGCTTGCGGTGGCCATTCCTGTGGTGCCGACGGTGGCGTGGCTCTGCCGCGGTCCAGTCCGGGAAGGACAGCCAATGTATCACATAGGATCACTGCTGAGAGGCTGTTGCACTGTGGCGTTGCACTCGCTGCGCAGGGGAGGCGGGCTGAGGCACTACCCCGCAGGCGGGGGAGACTTAGGAGGATCACAGATATAAGAGGAAAATCTGCTCAGCACCTCTGTGGCCCTTAACCACGACCTTTCCTGTATAGGTTTTCTCTTGGAAGATTCAAGTGCAAGAAGACAAGGACTTCCTGTCCTGCAGTTTCTGCCAAGAATAGGCAAGAGGGGTATAAGAAACAGGAAATGTGAAGCTCTTGGACTGACAAGCTCTGCCTTGTTTTGGTTCTGCTCCGCAATGTCTGTCACCCAATGTTCCTCAGCCTTGCTACCGAGATGTCTGCCAGCTCTACTGGCTTGTGGAAAAGTAAATGAGCTGATTGAAATGAATGATGCCTGAATCTTTTATGCTGATTGTTTCTTTTGATCTTAAATGCAGGGAAAACTGTAAAAGATTCATTGACTACTCAACCTATGAATTCTAACACATTTGACTGGTTGTGTGTGTATATGTGGCATATATGTATAAGAGCTTGTATACATGTGTAACCAAGTTACAAAAAGCTACAGCTTCACCAAGTCATTAAGCAATGGCTGAGGGGAAAATCCACTCTAAATCAGAATTTACATGTTTCTACGACTGCAGACGGTTTTCATTGATCTTCAAGACTGAAATCTCAGAGTGTGTCTGCCATCATGACGTAGACACAAAACTCAGGGATGTTCCGAGGGTAGAAACACACAAACCTATTAAATTTGCTTCAAATCATAAACACCCAGCTGTGGCCAGTTCAGTTGTGCTGCCAAGTTAAACTCTACTTACTTTTAATCGTATTAAGGTTTTAGTTCTCTCTCCTGGCCAAAGAAGCGTTTTGGTTGAGCTCAACCCCCCAAAGGAATGTTGTTCATCATTAAAATGACCTCTGCCAAAAATCCTATGTAGATGTTTATTAATCAAACACAGTAGGTTAATCTGAGGTGTGTATACATCAACTGCATAGAAGCTGATTTCTAATTTTCTTTCATGCATTTAGCAGTTTGAGGCATCTAAAAACAAAAACCATGATGCCATCACACTTAGGATGAGACTGTTTTTAAGATAAGATAAGATAGATCTTTATTGTCACTGTTACAAGAACAATGAAAGACTGTTTGGCATCTCTCCATTAGCAGCATGTAGATTTTTTTAGATTAAAATTACTTTATAATAAAAGATAAGAGACAAATTTCCCACCTGTGGGACTAATAAAGGTTATCTTATCTTCTCTTATACACAGATACATGCATTGATTTAGGCCATAAAATTGCATATGTCGTCAATCATTCTCATCTACTTATAATATGCATAACCATCACTTGAAACAAAAAACAGGTTTTGTCCTTGTTGAATGAAGTCTTCATGTTGCGCCTTTTGTAGGCAGTTATTTAGTCTAACCTGCCAATTAACCTGATAAAGGCAAGTACCTTGTTTGATTTCTGCAATTTTTTTTCTAAAGACTGCTTAAAAATTTCCCTGTACTTGATGTTGACGTTAGAATGTGCACTTTAATTTCTCTTAACCTCTGCATCCCCAGGAGGCCAGCCAGAATCTCATTAATAATGAAGGAGATGTTAATTATTATAGAAAGTCCATGGGTGATTTACCTATTCTGCCATGTTCGTTGTGTTTCTACCCTGAGAGCATTACGATTAATTCTCCTAAATAAATAAAGCTATTCAGATTTATTAAACTCAAACTAAGATCAATACCACACTTATAACTATACACTAAAAATGAAGCTCAGTTGAGAGCCAGCCTGAGTCTTTGCAAAGATAAAGTCAAAAATTAAAAAGCAAAGCTCTCTAAATAAAATCTTAGATTTGTTTCTGTAATCCATATGAGAGCTTTTGTTTTTGTTGTTTTCATTTTATGTATCTATTTATTTATTGGGGCAGTCTACTTGTTTGGGAAGGTAATAATAATAACATGCACATTATATTTTAGGGTGGAATATTTTCCATACTCAGTCATATTGTCTCATATGGGCCTTATCTGCTTAAGCTTGTATTCAAAGCAAAGTTGCCAGAACCAACATTTGGTGAAAATAACAGACCTCAGTTTGTGTTACTTAAAGTCACCTGATTAAATCTAATTGAAATGCCATGTCACGATCAAACACTTTGTTTGTAGATCCTCACCGGCTCACTTTGGTATCTTAGTGTAGCTCTGAATGGAATGAGTTGTGCTCAGTCTGTGATCTGTGCTGTATATTTATGCTAAACTTAATGCTCTTGTGGTGTAGTTTTAACTGTCATTCTGGTAGTATGTATTCCAAGTCAACTGTACAAGAGCTAGTCAGTCACTGCTAATAACTCCGCTTAACTTGTCTAACAGATCATTCTGAAAGGCATTTACAGACATCGTGTGCTACATCTTAGTCGACAGTTCAGATGTACATTAATAAGATGTCTGGGTTTTAAATGCACTTAGCATCAGGGTATTTTTTCATTTGTCTGAATGTGTGCATCACGAGAGGACTGTGATGAAAGATGAATGTGTAAATGAACAAATAAGCAAATCATGGCTGGATAACTGAATGGGCCTGCTGGGCACAGATCTGACTGCTAGAACAAAACAAAAAGCTTCCCAGAAGTTGGAATGGGGTCTGAAAGCTCACTAAAGAGCAATATGGCTGCAAGAGGGTGGAAAACAATTGCCAGTAGATAACAGACAAAAATGCTATGTAAAGGACTAATTCTTACATAACACTTACATACTCTCTCCCAGAGTACTCAAGGCACTCCATACAACATGCCAGATTCACCCAAGCACTGTCTTCTATGTTTTTAAATGTTTTCTAACCACCATTCACACACTTTGATGCTGAGATGGGAGAGCAACTTGGGGTTATTATCTTGCCCAAGAATATTTGGCATGCAGACTAAGGGGAGCCAGGGATTAAACCACCAACCTTTACAATCAGTAGATGACCTGCTCTACCTCCTGACCTACAGCCACCTATCAGTCATATGTCAATAGACATATGACTGATAGGTGGCTGAGTTTAAAACAGAGTTTAAAACTATTCCAAAAAGAAACCAAGCAACTACAAAAATGACACAAAACAACTGCAAGAAACGTAAAACCAATGCAAGAGATGTCTAATGTCTACAAAAAGGTTCAAAATGAATTCAGAGAGACCTAAAGTGACTACAAAGTCATGTACAAGGAAATAAAACATAAAGAACCCTACAAAGAGACAGAAAATGACAATAAATACTAAGGTCTGCAAGACAGTTGGATAAAAAAACAGAAAGCAACTACAAAGAAAGAGAAAGTCGCTGCAGTGATATAAAATGACCTCAAAGATGTATAAAACAAACAATTGTAGAGGTGCCTAAACTGTACAGAGATTAAAATGACTTCAAAGAGATTTCCTAAATGACTTTGAAGCAACAAAAACATGCAGAGAAAACACAACTGTAGAGATGTCTAATACTTAAAAGAGATGCAAAATCACTTCCAAGAGATTTGAAGTGGCTACAAAAATATAAAACAATGACTTCAAAGAGAGCTTAAGTAAATACAAATAGATGTGAAATTATATCTAAATGACTACAAAAAGATGTAAAAGGGCTGCAGGAAGAAGAAAAACAACTGCACAGACATAAAACCACAAAATGACACAGAGACACAACCACAAAGATGCTTAAAACAACTGCATACAACTACAAAGACACGCCAAAGAACTTCAAATACATGTGGAACAACCACAAAGAGAACCACAGTGACCAATAAAAGAAAAATCAACCACAGAGGGAAATCAAAGCAGCGCAAAATCACCAAGATGTTATTGCAGGGGTCAGCAACCTTTAACACCCAAAGAGCCATTTGGACCTGGTTTCCACGGAAAAGAAAACACTGGGAGCCGCAAATACTTTTTGACATCTAAAATGAAGATAACATTGTGTATATATAGTGTTTTACTCTTATGCTTTGTGTGAACAACTAAGGTGTGTTGCTTATGAAATCCATGAAGTGCTACAGAGAAAATTACATTTTATTTATGTAATTAACATATTTTGAACTCTTAAAGAAATATAACAAAAGGAAAGACACCCAGCTGAACTAAAATGATCCATGTAGCAAACAAAAACTGCTGTGAGCCGCCATCCTTATATCACCTTTGGGCTTTTGGAGCCTTGGCCTGACTTTTAAAAAAGTAATTGGAAAAAAAGCACTATGCTGCTAAAAACAGAAAAATAGATAGCAAAATTCTGCCTAAATATGTATTTTACCTGGTTAATGTGTGTTGCGGGGCGTGGTCTGCTGCGCCGCTGCAGGGGACGCGGACGCACCTGAGCGGCACCCGCAATCACGCCTCGCCGCCTTAACGTCCGTGCTATCTGTGCTGTTGTGTTGGTATGTGTCGGGCTGTGAGCTGAAAAGCTACAGCCGGCTGTATGCGTACAGCAACCGTGTGTGAGAAAAGCGTGTTCATGGAAGCATCGTCGGGTCTGCTGTGATATGTTTACAATGGGACTTCTGCTCCTGAACCTCTGCGCACAGCGTCTGCAAATCGGGGCTGTACGAAGTCACTTCATCTTTACGCAGGACTGTAAGCTGTCACCTGTGAGGTGTGAGCGGTGTTTGTTTTTAACATAGTTCACGGTGGAGAACAGCTGCTGACATAATGTGGATCCGAAGATCCATAATTGGGCTATGGCCTCGAGGGCCGGTGTCCCTGCAGGTTTTTAGATGTGTCCTTGAACCAACACAGCTGATTTTAAATGGCTAAATTAGCTCCTCACCATGTCCTGAAGTTCTCCAGAGGCCTGGTAACGAACTAATCATGTGATTCAGGTGTGTTGACCCAAGGTGAGATCTAAAAGCTGCAGGACACTGGCCCTCGGAGCCTGGAATTGCCCACCCCTGGTCTATGGGTTGAAAGTCTGGATAAATGCACGGCGTTTCGGCGGGTATACCGGCTTCCGCGAGTGTGACGCTTATTTTGAGCGATGAAAAAAATAATAGAATATAATTTTAATTTTATATTTCAATATCACAATAACCTTCCAATTTAGAACTACAAGTTAAAAACAAACTAACATAAATAAAATCCACTTCAGCTAAATACTTTATTTTCCCAAACCACGCGGAGCCGCACTATAAGGACTAAAGAGCCGCAGGTTGCCGACCCCAGTGTTAGTGGAATGTAAAGTTACAAGCAGGTGCAAAACTACTATAAAGTGACACAAAACAATCATACAAAGTATCTACAAAATGTTTTGGTCTTCAGTGTAAACTCCTGTGCCCAGGGGGCGTGTTTGATAAATCCCTCCATGGAATAACTCTAAATCTGTCCGTCCCGATTTAAATGTCGAATGAAAACTGTTCCAACACAAC